GTAAAGGTAAACTTATGTTTAGTTATATTACCTCAACATTTAGTTGAAACTATTTTACTCAATATTTGATAGCTATAACTAGACTTTTTTTTCAGTGCACTTACGGACACACACTTCTCCAGTTACAACGAAGTCCAAAAATAGGTGGATGAATGGATCGCCTCGAAAGACACCGCGTTCTATCATCGTGGGATTGCCCTGTTGCCAGAGAAATGGGAAAAAGTAGTAGAAAATGGAGGAAATTACTTTGATTAAGGTATTCATTCATCTTCCCTTCAAAACAAATCAATTTTGGAAACGAAAAAACGGCAGGAATTAAGTTTAACACCTAATATTAGGCTTAATTAAAATATTATTAATATTCGTAAATGTAAAAGAACATTAAATTTCAACAAGCTTAACTGAAATTTAATGTACTACAAACTTAAATTTCATTAATGTGTACATTAATAGTTATTTCAATTACGATTAATTAAATGTCATTTATATCCTTAATGAAAAGTATATTAAATTTCATTACACTTAATTTTTCAGTTACTGTAAACTTAAATCTCATTAACATGTGCATTAATAGTCCTTTCAGTTACAGAGAAATTAAACTTTATTCACCAATGTACATTAAAAGTTAATGAAATTTAAGAACATTTCTAACAGTGTACAGTTAAAACTATTGCTGAGATATAATCTTATAAAACATGTTTTACGTCTCCAATGAAATGGATATTTTTTACACCAGATACTGAAAACCATTTTCACTAAAAACGTAGGATATATACAGACTAAAATAATATATATTATAAATCAACTAAATAATTTATTATGTTAATATTCGTTATTATTAATGTATAATAATAACAAATAAAGAACCTGCTGAACATATATTGAACATAATTCGATTATGATAAAAATTTATCTTAACCAAAAGTTAAAGAAAAGGTTAAAGGTTTACCTAATCTATTGTTTCTGACGATATATACTTAACATGCAATGAAAACAAAGGTTTAAAATAACGATACATGATATATGACATTGGATTAGTATTTATTGTCGATTTTTGTTGTTCTTAAAATCTAATTACAAAATTATAAAGAATTTGAAAAATTTAAAACTATGAATTTAAAGATCTTCATGTAAAACAGATGTCGCAATACATTCGCTGTTTTGTGGTGAACTATGTTAAGATGAAATATACAAACAAAAACGTGATCTATGCAAATCAATAGAAAATGATAAAGTGAAAAAGATCATATATTGAGAAATTGTTTATATAAAAATTATAATAATAAATATACAATATAAATAATATTTTTAAAAATTTATTATAAATTTTATATAAACAATTTCTCGTTATATGATCTTTTTCACTTTATTATTTTCTATTGATTTGTATAGATCACGTTTCTACTTACATATTCCATCTTAACGTAGTTCACCATATAACAGCGAATATATTGCGACATCTGTTTTACATGAAGATCTTTAAATTCACAGTTTTAAATTCCTCAAATTCTATATAATTTTGTAATTAGATTTTAATAATAAAAATCGATAATAAATACTGTTGAAATTTTAATTTGAACGATTGTTTACTTTGGTACTAAATTTATGTTAATAAAATTGCATAATACGATATATGTCTAATCCTATACTTTTTTTCGTACGCAATTCTAAATCTTGAATTTAATAAATTAAAATTTTCGGATGTCTCTATTTCGTCACGTTTTTTGTATTCACAAATTTAAGAAATTTCAAAGCATATTCTCTCAATTTCAAAAGATACTTTGAACATCATTTTTTATATAACTATACCCAAAAATGTATTTGTGATAGATAGTTTAGATTTATTGCATTTAAGATTTGTCTTAATATATATATACCTATATATTATTGGTACACAAATTTTATGATCAACTGTAAAAATCTAACACGAGTAAAAAATTTTAATAAAAGTTCGTAAATATACAAGAAGTTAATACAATAACAATAACAACAAAATGTATAACTGGGCGTTAGGAGTCAGTGCTGGATATTATATTGCGCAAAGCTAACTAATACCTATTCATAAGTAAAAAATTCAATTTTGTACGTTTCGGCTTACTATTTGAGCCATCCTCAGTAATAAAAAATTACCGCTTATCGCACTATAAAATCTGTCGAACTGCGTCTCGCACAATCGTAGTTCCGACCTCCAAAAATGCAATCGCAGTGGAAATGGTGAGAGACAACCATCTTCAACATACACAGTAAAAAATCGTGCGTCCATATGTAGAATTTTTCTTGTGTTACCACATTTTGATATTATTACTTCAATGTAAAATAAATATACAACTGATATGTTATTATTTTTGTAACATTTTGATGTGTTAAATTCATGTCACCTTTCTAACTTGACAATTGCGTATATCAATTGAAAATGGAATATTATTTTGAGTGTTTTTAATACAATTGTTTCAATTAATCTATATATCTCAAAGTTAATTTAATATCTAAGAATTTTTTCATTCACAT